ATCCTAATATACATCCAAGGGTGGAGATCCCTTCCTATGCTTCTCACCTGAACCCAACCCCATACCGACGAAGGATCGTGTGAGAATGAGATTTAAGGAGAGAAGCGTTAAAAGAGATATGGACCTTTGATCACCTGTAATCTCAAACCCACCCATTAACCGTGCTTGATACAATGATTGATTTGGTGCATCTTGGTGAATCTCATCCTAATGTGCATCCAATGATAAAGATCCATTCTTACCTTAACTCTCCTTCCGAAATACAACCCTATATATACCTAACTAATAATATGTTCATGAAGCATGAACATAATTGTTACAACTTATCTATCTTGTAATACATTTAACCATTCAAATCTCAATATGTGCACATTTCCTCACAACAACGAAAAGATATGCTAAGAGACTTTTATATCCATATATAATTAAGAGCTTAAATAGAACTTATTTAACTTTCTTATTTTAAAAACATTTTTTATGCTATTATTGTTATTGAGGTAATGGTTAACGATTTTTGAATTTTCTATATACAAGGAGAATGCATTGGATTCACATGGAGTATATTTAAATTAATTTTCTTTTAACAATTCACATATGAACTTTTATTTAGTTTTTTTTTACATTCTTACGATATCACTCTTTTTATTTAAATCTTATGCTATATATATATATATATATATATACTGGGTCTAATCAAATGAGAACTGATTAGTTTGTGTTAACTATGAGGTCCAATCTCAACCACAAATCAACGGATAAATTATGAAATTAATAATTATGGTAATTTGAGTTAAAATTATAATTAGAAGGCTTTTTAGGTATTTTTAAAAAACTTCTCTCTCCTCTCTCCTCTCTCATCTCTCCTCTCTCTCCTCTCCGATTTCACCGGAGGCCGGAGATCGGAGGTCGGAGAGATGAGTTTTTTAAAAATACCTAAAAAGCATTCTAATTATAATTTTAACTCAAACTACCATAATTATTAATTTCTTAATTTATCTGTTGATTTGTTGTTGAGATTGGATCTCACAGTTAGCACAAACTAATCAGTTATCCCTTGAATGTGCCCCTATATATAGAGAGGAACGTTCAAATAAAAACCTGCCCCATTTGTGTAAACCGTGTAAACCAATCTCATCCATCCATTTTCTTGATCAATGACCAATATTAGTTTACTTTATTTTAGGAAATTAAAAAAATATATATATATATATTAAAAATTTATTTTATTTCAACAGTAAGGACAAAAATGGTAAACAAAATTTAACATTTGGTAACATCTTTCTAGATATTAATGACACCATTTTCAATTTTTAAAGCAATATATTATTTTTAACTTTAAATCACATCCATCAATAAAACATATAATAAAAAAATGAATATAGCACACCATATTCAATTATATGAAGTGAATCGTTTTAAATTTTGAATTACATTATATGAACGAAATTGGTTTCACCATGAAAATGTTTTGGTTCACATAATTTATTCGCAACAAGACCCGGTTTCACGTTCATGAAACCTGTTTCATTTTCCTTTTCATAATTTATTTTCAAAATGCACCGGTTTCATTTTCATTTTCATCAACAAAATGGATCAACTACACCATCAATGCAACGGTTTYACCATAAAAATGTTTTGGTTCACCTAATTTATTTGCAACATGAACCGGTTTCACGTTCATAAAACCTGTTTCATTTTCCTTTTCATATTTTTTTTCAAAATGCACCGGTTTCATTTTTGCTTCTCATAAAAAAAGGATTAACTACACCATCAATGCAACGGGTTCACCAAAAAAAATGTTTCGGTTTACCTAATTTCTTTGCAACATGAACCGGTTTCACGTTCATGAAACCTGTTTCATTTTGTGGATTTTTTTTTGTTCATCTACGTTTTGATGATTTTATTCTATAATTCAATTGTTTCATCAAGACACGTTTCCTGATTATAACTCACGACAATATATGAAATCCAAAATTTTAATATAATTAAATATTTAAATGTTACCATTTATATAATTTCTTTTATTACGTTTTCTTAATTAAGATTTATTAATAACTTTCATATTTAATAAAAAATATTGTAAATGACCGAAATACCCTTATTGATTAAATTTAATTAGAAAAAAAAGGAATTTTCCAATTGGTCGACATTACACGGTTTCTTAGAAATGCACGGTTTTCATTTGAACGTGCCCCTATATATATATATATATATATATATATACACACACACAAACAAACAGAGAGAGGTTTATTTTAAAAATTCATGAGCATTCTGATAACCATTCATCTAGACGGTATGCACATTTCTGGACGGCATGCACGTGTGTGTGTGTGTGTGTGTGTATATATATATACTATCTTATAAAAAGATTGGCTAAAACTTTTAAAAACTCTTAAAACTCTTAAAAACTCTTAATCTCGTTCATTCCTAAACGATTTTATCCCTATCCGATTTCAATTCATATCTGAATTCGTGTAACTAACTGCAGATAAACACAATCAAATACAGAATAAACATCTCATTTTAAATATAAAAAAATCTAAAATATAATTAGTATAATCATT